GGGGGACACACATTTAGTAGCCAGACATCATTAACCTAAGTGTCATGTATCATATAGTTTATTAATAACATGATACCAAGGTGCTCGCCGCTATAATGGGAAAGTGCCCTGAACTTGTTTCCCCTGCGTTCTGCTGTCTGCTCCGGGAGCATAATACCGCATCATGAAAACCTGCAAGGTCAATTAGAAATGTACAGTGACTTGGCACTTCATCACAGGTGGTTTAAAAATGAGGTGAACTGTCCAGGGGGAGAGACGTAAATAGAGAAAGAGTGTGTGTTTGTGCATCTACAGTGTGTGTGACAGGCAGACGAGCAATGTGAATGTGTTGGTTGGAGCCCAGAGACACACTTTCTGAGCGTCAGACAGCTAATTAAAATTTTGCTCACCGCCTTAAAAGATCCTTGTCGTTCACAGTTCGACCTCTCCGAACAAAGCGTTAAATATGGCGCTGTCGCTCTGCCACGGCTGGTTTGAATTCTACAGAGTGATGAAATTTTTTCAAGATATTGACTGAAAATCCCCTCAGCAAGGCCTGAAACTTCCACACCAGTCCTCCTTTCACTGTACCTCTCTATAAGAGGAAATGATGCATGAATAAGAGGCTGTGGAAATATTCATCAGCAATAGATTTTCAGAAAAGTCAGGGCCAGTGCTTGTTCTGAACCTATATCCTTGTAACACTAATGTTTGATAATATACTCTGGGATGTGTAATTGATTTAATATAATACATAATATTTTGTAATACTGTTCTGCTCAACTCATTTCTTATTCACTTTGGGTCACAGTGTCAGCCAAATGCGTAAAATGAAATGTGATATAAAAGTCTAATTTCAAAGCTGTATTCAGTTTCGTGCAAAGTTGAGAACTGCACACTAAAAGCAGACAGAGCAGAAAATAAGATGTGCTGACTGCAGTGCGTCATTCAGCCACCCAGTATAGGTAGTTTATTGTCTCTGTCCACTCTCACTCACCAACGCCAAACCAGCAGCCCACAATCACAACACAGAGAACAAGTTGTTCCTCCTCGTTGTCAGAAAAGAAGGACGTCTAAACAGACTGCTGGTGTTTGTTGCTTCCTCCGGCTGAAGCTCAGCCGCTCTGGTCTAATGTAGACTGTGTTGAGACGGTTTTACAGTTGAACTACTGCGGCTCTGACGCTCCTTCCTCAAACGGAACTGATTGGAACACTCAAGTTTCTATCTCAGCCTGTTGAAGGTAATAAATGAATTGTTGGCTCGTGATTTATATGAAATGTGTTTGAAGACAGAATTGTTTTCAGGATTCAAAACTACTTAAAGGAGGGCTTTGTTAGTTGCTAGCGTGTCTAAATTATCTAATGCTCTTATATGAAGAAGGAAGTGCTGTCAGCATTTGTTTGGAATTTTTTTATATTATATTAATATATAATGTATATTTCTGTCAAAATAACCCAGTTTCAGAATGAAGTTACTCAACAGCTTTTTGTTAGACTTCATTCAACTTTTGAAAAACTCTGTTAAGCTAATAATGTTAGCCCCCGTTAGCCGGACCTGCCACACTGCAATATATTTAGGTTACATTTTCAGCACTTGTCCATCACTCTTTCCTCCCTGGCAGAAGTTAAAATGATGCTGTTGTGTTGAGTGTGTTTTCACATTCTTGTTTAGCACTGAATCCAGACATAAACAATATTTTCCTTAGGCATTTCGAGCTACCGGTTAAAAGAGAAGATATGTCTCGTTGATAACTTTGAATGGATGCTCTGTTCCCTCAGTTTATGACAAGTGAGAAACACTCACATGGTCTGCAAGTCATACAGTTCACACAGGACATTACACAAGTTACACACAGGAATAAACAACAGCCCTACCACCTGGCCTTCCACTCTTCATTGTTTACAGCGTTTACATATGATGATTAAAGGCATCTCTGTCTTCATAAAGCACTCTACAAGTAGCTTAACTACTTCCTGTCAAACATGAGTGGAGCAGCCCGCCTGTAACTGCCCGCGTTTAATTCCTGTCTCCGTGAATGACTAACAGTGAGTGCTGGGTTATAAACTGTGACTGGTGCTGTGGGCATTTCCTTCGCCTCTGCCTCGTGTGGTGTGTGTTTTTGGGGTTTTTCTTCAAACAATGCCACCACGAAACTGATTGTGAAAGTTTTTCGTGCCGTTTTATTTCAGCGGCCCTGTAAATGAATTGAGGGATGTTATTGGCTTAGTCATACGCGTGTGGTAGTAAACATGTGTGAGCCATCATGTGAGAAATCAAAGCAATGTGGCGTGCTACAGTATGTAGCCTACTATGAGCTTCTTCTTTCTCTCTCTGCTGCTATCTGAATGCCTCCTCTCACTCACATTATTACATTAAGGCATGGATTAAGAAAATTCCAGCTAGACGCTGGTCTCATTCCTCTTCTGGCTGTGTTAACCGTCTGTCCGTCATCTTCTCTGCTCTCCCCTCAGTCTCACAGCACGATATGCAAGTCCTCCGGGCCACAGTGGAATAGGGTCACCACAGAAGAAAAACACAAGGTAATTATAGCAAATACTTTGTGTACCTCCTGTATTTTATTAGTTCATCTGATTCTCCCACTTTGTTGTTCTCTATACTGAGCAGTTATCTTTTAAAAGCTATTTTTGCATGACGCTGCACATGTTTGCCCTTTTTCGCTTTTCCTCTTTTTGACACTCTTGTACCACCTCTCAGAGGTCAAAGGTCAGGATCAACTCGTGAGCAGCTGGTAGGGATTCCATGTTTTGCTCAAGGATTCTTCAGCAGGGTGTAGATGACAGCGGATAATGAAAACAAACACATTTTATGTGCTAAACATTATAATGTTCCATATTACCTTTTCACACGTGATTCAGCCTAATTAAACCTGCCCTTTCGGTTCTGAACACCCATAGTGTGACCGATCTTTTCTGGGAATTGTTTTTGTTTTTTTGCTTCCTGGGGTGGTTCCACTCATTAACATCAAGGCTAGCGCTCTCAGATAGCCACACATGTAATTGTAAAGGTACGTGTACGTAATTTGCCTCGAAGCGCAAGTAAGCAAATGCAGCGTTCAGTTAATAATTAGAGTGAATGACAATGTCTAATTTGAAATGAATCAGACCGAAACAAGGACTAACTTCAATCAACACTTTGCAACTTGCAAAGCAGGGCCTGAGTACATGAGGAAAACATTCACCTTCAGAAACGAGAGAGAGAGAGAGAGAGAGAGAGAGAGAGAGAGAGAAAAGACGTCACAGTCATGCCCACATGATTTGACTGACCAGTGTCCTCTGGAGAGTTCACTGCATAAACACATCAGTCAGTCCTTTGGCCCAAAATGGTTTCTAGAATCACAAAAAAAGGACATTGAGGATCACTGGTTTACTTGCACTTTCAGCCTGTTAATCTCTATCCTCAGTCCAGCTCCTTTCTTTCTTTACTGGAGTAGTGCTGTTCTGTGTGATGTGCCCTTTGGGAATAGCCCTTTTACACATCTTGGCAAAGAAGCTGCTGCTAAATAAGCTACCACACGTCATAATGATGCTCTTTGTGTTGCCAAGCTCTATCTGTAGCTAGCATTCAGGGAGCCACAGGCTTCAGCTCCTCTAGGTGTCATGCATGTGCTGGTAAACAAATCAAACACACATATGCACGTACTGTAGGGCCACTGACCTTCCTACCACCCCAATAAAAAAGAGCATTTGGGCACATGTGCACTGGTGCAGGTCTATACACCTACTGTACACACTGAATGTACATATGAGCAAAACAAACAGATGCATGAAATGTGCATGAGACATTCACCCACACATACTGTATGCACACACCCCAGAGTCCAGTTGTCTGATGCCTGCAGCATTTGTTCCATCTCAGAGGTAGTGGGAACCGGCGTGTTGGCAAATAATTCCTCTCCAGCCGCCGCTGAGCAATGGCAAAAATGCTGCAGCCAGCAGCTCCTGCCCCATGGGTGGTAATCTACCCTTCACATCACTGACAACAAACCTCACTGCTGCTGCTTGGCAGGAATAGCTTTAATTCCTACACACAAGTTTCACACATAATGCAAACAAAAAACCTCTATATTGGCAGTGACAGTGTTACCATCTGATTCTCAGTCAGCCTGATTGCCACATTTAATTGCTTTCTGAGAAGTTATTTTTAATCGCCATAAATTGTCTCCTCTCCTATCCCCGAAGCAAGAAAGTTTTAGCAGCTCTAAAACGGGAATACAATTGGTGCTTCTCTCACATGTTGTGCTGGATGTGGTGAAGAGCGTTTCCCTCAAGGTGCTGGAGTTTGAGTGTTTTTTAAGCTCTTTATGAGACATCCTGCTCGTTAGCTAAAGCTTCCCTCTTTGCAACAGCAACAACTGCACCTTTCACTTGCAGTCACTCATACAGATGGTTTCCTTCCATTGTTCTTGGCGGATACATGTCCACTGTGCTTTCTTTGATGGTATTTATGTTCTTTGATGTTCGTGTCAGTTAAGTTTATGTTTGGGTTTCAAGTATGTAACTGGTGATTATTGCCTATTTAGAACTTCTGATGCATTTCCACACATCTCATGATGGGTTGCTTCCTCTTGTTGGTCCTCATTTCTTTCTCATTCCTGATGAACCGCTGTGTGCTTCTCTTTGATGTAGACACCTAACCAGAGCTAAGCTTTGGGGTGTGAATAAACTGGCTTGGTGTGCCCTGAGGTCATCTTTCTTTAGCATCTGTTTTCTACTGGCGCTACTGGGCACTTGTGTTTGTGTTTATCTCCTTAACTACAACTGATGTATACTCTGTGCTGTACATTTCTGCTGACCATTTATGAATGCATCCTTTGTATTTTTTTGATTTTTGAATGTACTTTTCCTACAGTCCTGGACAGCCATTGATTTCCATTATTTTTTTTACAACTCAGTGAGCAGACTCTTGACACCTACTTGAGTTGTGTGATCCATCACAGTTAACATCAAGTTTGCATTCGTTTTTGTCAATGTTCAAGAGTCTGCTCATTGATTTTCATAAAATACAGAGGTGAATACAGATCAGTGGTGCCTGGAACTGTGGAAAATCCACGGTTCCATTTCTAATGGTTTGGAACATGGATATGTATTATGTAAAATATATCTGTTTATTATGGGCTGAAATACTGATATTGACGGCCCTTAATGTTCATCACCTGTGCAGCAGGGGGTGATGTTTGACAGCTTGTTGGCCACCTGCTAGCTTGTGGTCTGTTTCTTCTATTTTGAATGAGCGGTTTTGGATTTGCCCTGAAGGTAGCATGAACTCCAGACCAGACTGCTCTCGGGCAAACTGAAGATGTTTGCGT